GCCGGCCCCAAGCGGGTGGGGGGCCAAAAGGGGGGGGGGGGGAAGCTCCCCTGGAGAAGGCAGGAGGGCGGTCTCACCTCTACCCGAAACGCTTTGAGGGACATTTTGGCCAGGCTTCCCCCTTCCCCCCCCCTCCAGGGTCCCCTGAGTGGCTCTTTGGCTTTTTTCCTTTTGCCACCCAGTCATCCAGCCAGTTTCCCCCCCAAATTGAAGGGAAACAAGAGGAAAGGAACGAGTGGGAGTAACAGGTAACAGGTAGTTATCTTCCCCTTTCGAGACAATGAATCAGGCAGAGTTACTGTAAGGATCCTACAGAGGATGTGGCGACGGGAAGGAAGCGCCTTTTTGCAATCAATCATCAATCGCATGGCCCTCCAGAAAATACCTCCGTAATCAAAAGACTGTTCCCTTATAAAACACACAAACACACACACACACACACACACACCAGAAAGGGTCTCTCCGACCAGCGTTGGGATCCCCTTCCCCTTCGTTCCTTCCCAACCATTTTGACGGGAGCTTTTTCCTTTAACAGAACAAACCCCCCACCTCCCTCTTTCTGCTTAACATGATGTTGTTGTGTAAACGTTTCCGTGTGTTTCGCTTCCCCTTTTCTCGTCATGCTTCCAAGGCTTGTTTTCAGAAGTCCAAGAATGAGTCATTCTTCAGCTCTTGTTGTTGTTTAGTTGCTAAGTTGTGTCTGACTCTTCGGGACCCCATGGACCAGAGCCCGCCGGGCCCTCCTGTCTTCCACCGCCTCCCAGAGTTTCATCCTCTGTTGTCTCCCTTCTCTTCTTGCCTTCACACTTTCCCAACATCAGGATCTTTTCCAGAGAATCTTCTCTCACAAATGCCTTTGTTTTGGTTAGCAGGGAGGCCTTTTTAAAATACTTCCCAAGATTGGATGTCCACCTCCACTCCTTAACATCATCAGGTTTTTTTATAAGGAAATGAAGGGCACTGTAGTTTTTGACGGCTCAACATCAGATCCCTTTGACATCCAAAGCCGAGTAAAACAGGGCTGTGTCCTTGCAACAAACTCTCTCTTACCATCTCCACAAGAATTGGAGGTTGTTCATGACTTTGTGTATCTTGGCTCAACGATCTCTGACACCTTCTCCCTAGATGTCAAGCTGGATAAATGCATTGGCAAAGCAGCCACCATGTTCTCTAGACTCACAATGAGAGTATGGCTCAATAAGAAGCTGACGACACATACCAAGATCCAGGTCTATAGAGCCTGTGTCCTGAGCACACTCCTGTACTGCAGCGAGTCCTGGACCCTTTGTGCACGGCAGGA